TTTTCTTTTTGATCTTGAAGGAGGAAATTTTTTTTCGAATCCATATTATTCACAGAATGATCCTAGTATTGATTTCAATTTGGCTTTAAGTTTGAGATCATTACATAGAGCTAATCCTTCCCGATTAACAGCACAAATTAATTCTCCATAAGTAATAGTATTGTAAGGAATAGTGTTATTGTATTCTTTTTTGAGAGAATTTCGCTCTCTTTCTACAAAGAGTTTTGGAAGTTCAGAAAGAAATCATTCTTTCCAATAGGCTTGTTCACAATCATTTCTAAGAAAGACACGAGTAATAAATATGTTTTTGTACCATCGAAAATCTTGTAAAGTAGGACAAATGAGATTCATGAGAAGTTGAGAATGTTTATCTTGAACATTGGTAGGAACTCCAATAAAATGTTTGATAATACAATAAACCAATGTTTGAAAACTAATATTTGTTCCATCGAGTAGCTTCAATAACCGTATCTCGATCAATAAATTGGATTTTTTCCTTGAATCTTACTTATTTGAAAATCGGATTCTTCAATAAATTGAGATTCAATTTCATCAATAGTATTAATATTTTTTGAAGAAGATGAGACAAATAATTTTGACAATTGAGAAGCAAGTTCTTTAAGAACGCTTTCTTTTGAATTTAATTTGGAAGTGGCTTCTTGAAAATGACAAAATGAAAGAGTTTGAAAATCAACCTTCTTTTTATCAGAATTTGAATTAACTTTCTTTTCCTTATCAGAATCAGATTTCGATTTGAAATACTCATTTTTATAATTGTTCTCAATTCTATTTAATTGAGTACAAAGGGAATTTAGAGTAATATTTGAATAATTATTTTGCAAAACAATCCTTTTGATATCCTTCGCATTAATGGGGGTATCATCATGTCTTTCAATTCTTTTGAATGGAGATGTAACAATTTCAGTACTCCCATGTGAAAAGTCAATTGCCTATAAAGGGGGAAAAGTAGACCGAAGTGTTTCACTTGAAGCTGTTTTCCAAAAAAAA